TCTCTCTCTCTCTCTCTCTCTCTCACCAACCTGAAGGAACGTTCTGCCCTCGTCTCGGAACAGTCTGAAGGGCGGCTCGGCGTTGGAGAGGTTCCTCAACTCGGACCATCCCGTCCTTCCCAATTGCTGAGCACCGGCGATCCCGCATACAGGAGTGGTCACACCTAGTTTCGGAAGATAATTTATGTCCGTGTTAAGCGATCGTGCAAAAGAAACGAGGCAGGAGATAATGAGCGGAATAAACGCCGATGGGAATTTTGTTGGAGAGGCGCCGCGCCGAGTGAATTTTTATGAAGGCTGTGCGGTAAACTCACCGCATACTATTTCTTTATCCTGAGAAAAAGCAATCGCGATCGATTCATCTTTTTTGCTAATATAGGACTGTTTTGCTTCGTGCAAAAATCTCAGTCCATTCTTACGTAACGAAAATAAGTGCCATCTTCATTGTTAATTTTTATTCAACGCTGCGAACTTACCTTCGAAACGAATCTCCGCGTGCGGATATATTATCTGCCCTTGCTGTGGTAAGAAGACATACGGTACTTTCTCCACGTGGCCGTTGCTGTTGACAAATCCAGCAACGTTGCACTCTGGACATAAAAATTATTGTACATTAAACTCGGTTTAAAAAAATACCTGTGCAAATTATAACAGACGTTTATATATAACACTCATTACGCTGATCATCAAAATTATTGCATAAATATGTGGACGATGTATGAATATTTAACATGTAAATTAATTTATTCGATGAAAAAAGATGCAAATAAGTTGGTCAATATATTAAAAGAATTTATTAGATATTTTATATCACCGGATTATATCAAACATAATTTTTCATTGATGAAGCTGTTGATAAAATTGATAAAATAATTTCTAATCAACACGTCGAGATACTTTGATACAGAGAAATAATCGCGGATTGTATAATATATAATTTCATATATTATATACAATAAAAGAAGCTACGGGAACCGTAAACTCTACAAATGAGCGTTTTTCAGGAAAACACTCAGAATTGAGGTGTCTTTGGCGACGGCGACTATTATAGTTTTTTCCATGCAATCACACGTCCATTTTACCCAACAATTTCGAATGCGCAAGACAGCTTGTAATTTCGAGCAAAATATCGCCCTCGGCCAGCCCCGCTGTTTTGCCCACATTTGAATAAATTACGAGGATCCGGCTTACATCGAAAATCTCGAGAACCTCTGGGAAACGCGGCGAGTCTGCACGAATACGAACTCCGTGAGGAGTGCTCTGCAAAATCGGGCAATTTCTCTTTTTTTTTTAACCATGGTTCGGAAAGCATAACGAGGTGTCTCTGAGAAAAGTGTACACATAATCATATGACAGGCTTATTACCGTATTTGTGAAGCGGCAGTTGCACGACATGAACGCGTCACGAATGTAATGTAACATATAATTTTTAAGTTGATAAAGAAAAGATTGTTATTCTTCTGCAACGCTTTACAAAAAATAATTAAATATTAATGTTCACATTCTTGAACAATGTTATTTGAGATTTTTGACGACAATAACTGCGTGACGATTAACATTTATTGTCAAAATGGCAATTATTTAATATAAGTAATTAACAATTTGTTAAAGACAAAAGCTTGATTCTCTTTCTTTGTTACAATAAGTATTTTAGTTGTTTGATACTTTGTAACAGTGTGAAGAATCGATAAGTAATTAAACTGATCGCCAAATTGAGTTACCCATTATTATATTATATTTGAAGAGAAAAAAAGAAGGAGAAAAAGATATTTTTTATTTGTTTAAGGCACGGTTGCGCCAACATCGCATAATATTTAACTTTAGCTTAACTTACTCTTCGTCTCTTTCTGTCCCCTTGAAGAGGCGAAGAATGAGTTAAGCTAAAGTTAAATATTATACGACATTGGTGCAACCGGGCCTTATAATGTTAACATATCAATAATCAATTTATGTAATGATTAAAATATGCGTGTAATAAGAAAATTTTTATGCAATATTTATGCAACATTTATTAAAAATACATGTGCTGTGTACGCAGTATACTTTTTCTTCGAGATCGTGAATTAAACACGACTTTAAGTAAGGGAGATGTTAACCGAGAAGTATTTATATCGGTCTGAAAGCGTATGGAGTCCTCACAAATTTGGTTAACTGCATATTTGATTATGCAAACGCCTTCTTCGAATTAATTTTCGGCACTGATGCTCCCCGAACGGGCCGAATACAAAATTCCATACCCTCCAATTTTGCGCGGCGCGTAACGCTCGGCGCAAGGTGTACGCTTGCAATTTCTAATTTGTGCTGTACATTATTGGATAAAGAGCGCAATAAATCGGCAGTAGGGTCTATTGGATTTAATTACAGCGTGGCGCAGCGATGCGCAGAACCTGTTTGAACTTCGTCGAAGGAGTCCGTTTGGACGTCGCGAATTTACATTCTCCGTACTAAAGTTACCCCGCAATGGCCGTCGATCGTTTATAAATAATGCATCAGGACGCCCGCGAGATTCCTGCAGTTGATGATGCACGAAAGTCGATATTCGCACGATAGTATCTTTTCGTTCTATGCGATCGCAGTCGGCGTCATAATAACGGAAGTACTTATTTTACTTTGAGGATACATACAGAATATGTGCTTTCTTTAGATCTTTATCTACAGCTTGTCTATAGATTCGCAAAATTAAACCGATTTGTTTTAATTTGCACAAAATTTTCATATTTAATTTTAAATTCTTCTATACACTTGAAGAATCATTGCAATGAACGACATTCATTGAACCAATGTATCGAAATGTCGAAGAATTTTTCATTGACTCAACGAAGTCTTTCGTTATTATAATGAATCCATGGCAGATTTTTCAATGTATATATTTATTGTTACAATGAATTGTAGTAATAGTTCAGTATTCAAATTATTCTTTTATAAACCATAAATCATTATGATAATAAATTAATTTATTGGACCAATTTTAATGAATTTTTTATTACTATAATGAATGTTTTTATTACATTCATGTACATTTTTGGTTCAGTGTAATTCATGTAATATATATAAATAAAACTGTTTCTTAGACTATTAGATAAATATTTTTGAAAAAATAATTTACGTTTTTAAGGAGTTATTGGCGATTTATGACAACTTGTCCATTCTTAAATTTTCGAGGTGGACGATCTTGAACGATTATTCGTCAAATTATCTCTTCGGCGACTCCCTTGAGAAAAACGCGAATCCAGCGAGAAAAAATGTACCAGTCTCTCGGACCGAACTCGCTCCGTAAGAAACATGGTCCGGGCTGATTTACATTTATCTATTATAGCCGGCGATAATTAACACCGTCGAGCAGTCGTCCGCTCAATTCTCGATTTACGTACGAGGATCGGCTTACTTACTCCCGTTGGCATCCCGGCTACGGGATCTGGGATCTGCGCGCGATTCAGCGTTGGATAACGACCGGCTGATTAACGATCGCCGAGCTCACCCCGGCGAAGCAAGAATCAGCGACAGTCCCGGCCGCGATTGAACTCTGACCCGCGTAAGACGACGACGATGACGACGACGATGAATCCACGAAACTAGAAGCGGCGTCCGGTTCTCTATGAGCCAGGTGATAGATAGTGTCATCTCGCTCGAAAGCTATTGCCGCGGCTTACGGTCGCGCGGGACTTCGATAAGCCTGATTGCTTGCAGTTAGGTACGCACCTCCTGCGCACCACTGACGGCGTATTTCCTCGTATTTTTGCGACGATCGCGTGTTTCTCTACCGGTATTTAAATAACTGATTACGGACCGCCGTATATATGTCTGGCGAATTAATTAACTGCGATTACGTGAATTTGTATGCCGCACTTTTGCCCCAAGCGCACACCTGTGCTCGTAAACATATTATATATATGTATATATATATATATATTATAACAAATCTATTATTTAATATCTGAAATCAATAAATGCCTCTTTTTTTGTCTCTACAAAATTGTGTCTCAAATGTATACTTATCTGCAAAAATAATCTATTATTTCTTACTAATTTCTAATATTGAAAGCTTGCGTATTTATGTTTCAAAGTTATTTCAAACTTTATTTAAAACGAGGATCGTATAACATACAAATTATTTTACGTCTACCGTAATTATAATCCCTGAAATCATGAAAGTACGTAATGCCTGGTTAGGGAACTGTGTAAATGTCATCTATCGCGAGGCAGATTTCATCACGGCGTTTCTTCGATGACACGCCGCGATAATCAGCAAATTAGTTTAACAAGTACTTGCTTAGCGTCCAACGAGCTGGGCGCTTCCTACTGCGATGATTGCGATGATTGCTAAACGTGGCGCACTATACGCACGTGCATAACATCATCGATTATATCGATGACAGCAGTCGCAGCGCAAAAACACGCATGATTGAAACGCCAAGAAATTATAAGCAGACCGATCAATTTTTTAAAGCTTTAAGGTTTGTTGAAATCCTGACGCGTTTCGACGGGTTGTGTCTCGAGTTCAGTCAATTTTCACCGCGATGGTCGCGCGATTTTACCATCGTAGACGTGAATTACTTCCGCCGGATCGATTTGATGGTACTCTGACGAAAGAATTAAGCGGGGACGGTAATCTCCGCGCCGAACGTTGTCGATCCGCGTGAATAGACAAGATGGGCAGAGATTCGCGATGGGCATCGCGTTTTCAATTTGCGAACATCTCTGACGTATTCCGGCTTCTGACGCATTACGCGTCACGAAAGAATCCTAACTACGTAACTACATCAAATCATTATCATTCAACATCCGTTGCAGCGGCAGGCATCAGTCGAAGGCGCAACTTCCGGCTACCGGCGCGGCGCGGCGTATCGCGCGACTGGCCTTGACACCTGTCGCTGAGATTGACACACGAGGAGATTGCAGTGTCATTCGTTTGATTGGTTGTGAAATTAATATTGAAGTGTCAATCGACGAAGTCTGAGTTGTAGGAAAAAATCTTTGCCGACTATCGTTGAAGGAAAAAAATGTGGAAACTGTCATCCGCGAAGATATGAAATAAAATTCTTATCTAAATATATAGAAAAAAATGCTTGAATATCCAATAAATAATAATGATGACAAAATACTTCTTTCGAATATAAGAATTTCCAAAATTTTCCCTAATTAAGAACGTTACGTACATTAAAATTTGGGACTTGGAATTTTTCTAAACAAATTTTACATTTTATCTTTCGGTAATTCTGACACAAACCTACGATCAAGGATAAATACAATTAGATAAAAACGAAAGTTTTTGTATTCTACAATCAGATCAACAGAGTAAAAAGCTTCCTTTCGCAAACACGCCTAATGGATTTGAAGCAGAAGCCGGATCGTGTACCACGAGACCATCTGCCTTTCTCTTCGGAGGGAAATCAGCACCGCTGCACATTGTTTCTTGCGGTACTTCTTCTATCGCCGTGGCGCACCGATGCAAATGCCACGCTTGCTTTCTCGTTCTTCTGCCATTGGTGGCACAAGTTATCCTCGGGAATCGCTTATTTATTGGTTGCAAAACAGGCTCGCGCGTGGCCTTGGAAAGAGCCGTACAAGAGCCGTATACGCTTGACACGAC